TCAGCCAGCTAGCATGCAATTGTCAATATCAGAATCTTTTTAAGGCGTGGTGTGTCTCGGGAGAAGACGGAAATTAGATAGGATGATTTTAACCTTCGGGGAAGACTTTTTCCAAATATTTCCAACTCTTGCGAAATAAATGTAAATTTAATGTAGCCATTTTACATTGAATTTAGAGGGAGTGTGAAAAGTGCCTTTATATTAAGAGCATGAACATGGAAAAACAGTATAGGTTTACCCAGAAATACCCACCATGTGTCATGTTAGCGTGAGCTATCAGGACTTTTATTTTCAGGTCAGCTTCTTCGAAACTGCTTCTTGTTTACCTTTTGGTTACTTACAGTGCTTTGGCTAATTATGATTACTTTAGCTAACATTAAGGTATCTTTAGTTAGCATTTAGTCAACTTGTAATCTTAATTAATTTCTCAGGTCTGGTTGTACCTGAACGCACCTCATGTGCCACGTCATAATCTTTATAGACCTAGTGGTTTGAACTTGTTGTCAAGCTGTTCTGCTCCTCAAGCTAGCGTGTAGCATTATCCTAAGTTACAGCATTTTCCTCTGTTTAATGCTTACATGATCCGAGACAAATAAACAAATAACAATTAAAAAAAAACATATTTTATAACTGTAGCCAGGTGCTTCCACATGAAGCTAACCATATCCATAACAAGGAAGTGGGTACCAGATATTCCTTTGCCACGAGTGGTTGAAACATTATCACATCGGCGTTCACGTACAGAGCTGTAAATAAGAATCGTAATATAGTTTCAGAAACATGAGCTCACACTTCTTTGTGGTTTGCAGAAATGTAATGGACAGTCCTGACACGTGGGTCGTGTTACCCAAACCTGGACGCACGGAAGACTACATTCCACATTTGAGATAATAGATAGAATACTTTAGAGAGGTGATTTAAATAAAATAAAAACTCACCAGGATCTGTGATTTGCTCAAACAGTTTACTTTACAATTGTAAACAGGAACTAGTACAAATACTGATACAAAATGAGGACATTAAAATGAGGGTGACATAAAAACAATGTGGTTCCACTCCACATTATCTTGTCTAACTGACTAGTAAGTGATTAAAAATCAGCTATTATTTTAAAGCCAAAGTGGGCTTCCAAATGTTAAAAAAAATATAAAAATAAAAACCCATATATTTAATGCACAATAAAGCAAATATTGAGCTGAATGTTGTTCAAAGGCCTGCCCTTTAAGTTCAGTATGAACCAGATGTTGGACAAACATGGGTAGGCTAATGCAGTATTAGGATTTAATTGTATGTTTGGTGCACTTAAAATAATTTAATGAATTGGAAGAAAAATAAAGTTTGTTACAGAGCAATTAAAAAAACATCAAAATCCCACTTGAATGGAAAACACGACAATCACAGCCCGAAGGTTTGTATAAAATTGTTGCTGCACTAGAATAAAAACAATGCTAACAAATAAGGCGGTGAGAGCACACACTGTATAATTTAAGAGGTTTACCAACTGAGGCAACAACTGTGTCACCTACAGTCAGTGAATGAGTGTGAGCGGGGGATTAATTAAAGAGCTCAACACCATTTGTTTGTTTTCTGTCAAATAAATCATGTAAGCTTCCCCTAAAAGCTTACGTGATTACCGCATAACGTTACTCTATATGTAAATTCCTGATTTAAAAATGGTTCTGACAAGAATTATTTTTTTCTATTAGGGAGGCAATGCATGCATTTTAGCTGTGCAAAAGAGGGCCATGTGCCCTCTAGTGGATTATGTGTGTCATATTGGGAGTTTTTTTGTTGTTGTTTGACATGTGTCTTTCTGCTAATTAATGTGATTAATGTGTTTTTTTTTATTGTTTTCTCCATTTCCCATTTATGATTGATATTTTTTAATATTAAAAGCTCAGTCATTTATTCCTTTTGTGATCCTTAACTGATGATAGATATCTTTTTTTGACACAAATTACAGTTAGATAAATGTGGTGTCTATATAGCGCATACGATAGCTTGATAGTTTACGTCGTTAAAGCGACGTCCTCGATAAGCGAACGAGAAAGAAGTTTCTCCAAGATTTGTTTCGAATGAACACACTCAGTTTCAGAATTCAGATCACATGTGGAAGAAAGTGTGAGGCAGCAGGAAATGGAGGTGATGTAGCGATGATGGATGAGTTTAAAATACCTGTGGGATCAACTATCCAAAGCTGTGAACAGTGCACAAAAGAGGTGAGGAAGAGGTCATAGTCAGGGTGGAGCGTGTGCTGGAGGAGGGCAGAAGGAAAGAAGGTGAGTAGTGAGAATTGTTATTACTTGTGTTTTGGAAGGGGAATGGTGCTGTCTATAAGACATGGGCATGAGCTGACGCTTGAGGAGTGGGGGAATCTAAGATTTTCATTGGAATCAGTTCAATATCAGGAGAAGCCGGTCAAGCCGAGCTGTGTGGAGAAAGGATTAGAATGGTGATGTTGATGTGGTTTGACAATGTTCTAATAAGAGACAGGATATATCAGACAACGGATGGAGGAGATGGATCTGTCTGCAGCAGGAAAAAAGAAACCAAGTTCCTGGTTGTGCAGATGGAGGATAAGAAGAAGAGACAAGGGATTGGATGAGATGAGCCAAAGTTACTAACATATACTGTAATATAAACTACAGTGCACCCTCCTTTTCTATTTTTACAAATAGTATATCATGGTTGCATAGTGTAGTGGTTATCACGCCTTACACATCTGCCCTACATGCAGAAAGTCCTAGGTTTGAGCCCCAGAGGGACCACATACAGTACTTGACTACCCCCCTGTCTCCCGTTGGGACAGCAGCCTCCCTAGTGTGGGGTCAACAAATATCCCATTAGTATTTGTTATTTTTACAAATGTTTCAAAAGGGAAAAAGGACTAACAACCCTTAAAAAAGGATTTTCGGATGAATGGATTTCAAAACACTAAGACTTTTGAGAATTGGTTAAATTAAATGTTGTTTTCCAACATTGCTTCAACTTCACAGCAGAGCCTTTGGGACAATGGTGTTTACAGTACCCTGGATTACAACTATTGTCTTAGACTGGACATATACAGGTCAGAGCAACAGTTCAAACCAAGAGGCGTAAACAGAGATGATTGTTCATATTGTTTTTTGTTTTTGTTCAAAAGGATCCAACTCATTTAGTGTTGCCCTGTAACATTTTAAACAACTAGTACAAGAAGAAAAACTGATACATTCCTGACCAAAACGTATATTTTTTTTGAATGTTTCAGGGACTGCAAACAAAGCACAAATGTGTCAAACAGCATCAGATTTGTCCTTTGAATTTAATGTTAGATAGTTGGATGGATGGATGGATAGTTAAGTCCAACTGTTCATATTGTCAGCAGGTCTTACTTCTGTAGACGTGTGGAGAGCCAAACAAATCTTCTGTAGTGTAGGCAATGTTAACATATTGCCTACTTTCAATTTCCCTGCAGTGTGTTTATCGTATTTCTCCTCTCCGAATGTGCCGTCTCTGTGTCAACCTGAGTCTGAATTGCAGTATATGAACCTCATTGCATCTCTGAACCCCGAGGTTATTGGTTTAAACAGCCAGAGTTCTAATTTGCATAGCAGACCACACACATGCATGCAGCTGCTCAACTGTGCAGTCACCACAAATTAGCCTGAATAATTGATGGTGTGTGCACAGCCACTTAACTTTGTTTTGTTATGCAACGCAATTCTTCATCTGCAGGAAGGAAAGTGAATAAACATTACCTGGGAAATAGTGGCGGTGATTTAGACGATGATATAAGATTTTACCGTTGCAGAAAATCCATAAAATTGATTCTCAATGTGGAAAAAAAGATCTAATAGACTAAATCCTAATTCCATCAATTTGCTGAAAGGTTTTGCATATTTTTTTAGATAAATTATTGAAAAGAATGTTAAATGTTTTAATGTGATTTACATGTTACATTAGCTAAGGTAAGATGGCATTCTTAGTTTAAAAATCCCAACACTGGCACTTAAACAGAACCATTTTAACATGCCAGGATTCAAACCAATAACTTTTTGGTTAAAAAATAAATCACCATATGCTAGTGTCTTGTTCACAATCTCCATATAATCAACAAAACATCATTTTGATCCCTGGATAGATTTACATGGAAATTTAAATGTATGATTTTATAGACATTATGGGACATAAAAGACACCACATCATTAACTTTTTTGTCTGTTCCTGGTCAAATAAAGGGCATTTTTGGAGGGTATTTTTGGAACAGCAAGATGGAATTGTGAAATAAATGTGCCGTAACATCTCAGTGAGATGTAATTCAGTCTAAAAGTTTTGGGGTAAAAGGTTCTTGGTTGCCTGGCTGCCAGTGTGCCTCTGGGCAAGTCCAAGATATAATATGAATGTGCTGTTAAACATTAACAGTCTGGTACAAATGTCAGCTGCCAGCAGTAGAATTGTGTAATATCTTGCTTGAACCTCTTTGAATGGAGGCAGGGTGTGGTCTCTTGGTTTTTATTCACTTTGCTTTGTTGTAGCCTATATGACTCATGGGTTACAGTCAACATACAGCCATTTTCCATAGACAAACCCAATAGACGTTGATAAAAAAAAAGGGTGCCAAATATAAATTAGTGAATAAATGAAACAAGATTAATGATTTATTAAAAAATGTTTTAAATGTAAACAAGTTTCCATTAAACGTTTTACAGTAAAATAAACCAGCTTTGTATAACCAACTAAAATTGATTTGTTTTTTCTTGTTTTGTATTTATTTCTTCGTCTTTCTGAAATTAGTAGATCAGTGAGTCTTCTCGGATCAATTATTATAAAACATTTGAAAAAACAAGATTTAAAAAATAACAATATTTTAACTGTTGGGAAATTGCCCGGTTAGGAACAGAATTAGGAATCGTTACTTTTTTCTTAGGATTTTGGTCCTCAGCTCAGAAAATATATATACATCGACTCAGAATTTAAAGATTTATTTAAAATTGATACATTTACTTTGAAAGAGCTCCGGAAGTTGAGCTGCTGTGACGTAAACGCGTCAAGCTCTGGGCTAACTACGTCTTTTCAACCTACTGACCGCAGCTTTAGGAGTGTCAGCTAGGGAAACACGGTAAGTTTATTCTGCCAAAAACATAAACATAATCTTTAATTTCATTGATGTCACACTGAAGTTAGTTTAGCCTGTCATTGTAAGCTATCGTCTTTAGTAGAACAGCCTTTATTGTCATTGTAACACGCGGGTACAACGAAATTTTACTTGTCACATATATAGAAATTAGTTGAAATAAAATTATGCTCAGTCCGCTAATCTACAGTTTTGTCAGTTGTGTCCCTAATTTAAGTAGAGATTCACATTCTCGTTAAATGTTAATGGTTGACAGTTCTTTCAAGTTTCTTTTCATTTGTGCAAAAGAGTGCCAATATAGTTCATTGCAGAGGCGTAAATAAGTACTTCCGCATTTGTTTCCCAGCAGGTCAAGTTTGTGGGAAAGAAAAACGGTTTTCACAGGGTTGCGACAATAACAATGCAAGGTTTATCTACATGGGTGTGTTTTGCTTTTCGCTTGTTAGTGGAAAATGTAGCCTGTAGGAGTTAAGTATTCAATCTAGACTGTATATAACTTAAAAAGGAAGACTACTGTTGTTTTATACAAGTAGTCTAATACCTTGCGAAATGTGAACACAGTTGCATTTACTTAATGTGATTATGTTAAATGACTGAAGGGATTAGTTTCAAATTTATTTTATTTTTTTTTTCATTCTTAAACCGATAAGAAGTCAACTAAATAATAAAATAGGTGTTGACTAAAACTAGTTGTTAGCAGACCATTATTTGTGGCTGTTGCCTCAGTGTTATTGATTGAATTTCATTCCAAACTGTCATAACGGTTATTGCAGAGTAAAAGACTTAAATACTATTTTGTGTGGCTGTGTCTGTCTTTACAGGCATGGCTGTGTTTAAGGACTGCACTGTGCTTTTGGAGCTGAAAACGCTGCCTTTCAAGGAGAAAAAGAAGCTGAAGTCAGCAATAACAGAGAATGGAGGGAATGTTTCCTATGTGGTCAATAAACAGGTTGGTGGATATTTTCATTTTCCCTTCTGCATGTGGTTTTCAGGTGAGGAGATTATACTGCACTCTGCCTGTTGTGCAGACTAAAAACTTTTTTTATTTTGGTCTGTATTTCCACCTAGTGCTCCTTCATAGTGGCCACTGATGTGACCAGCCTGAGCAGTAACAGACTACGCAGCATCCAAAAGTACCAAACCCCTGTGGTTGGGTTGCACTATGTGAACAGCTGTATAAAAAACGGAGCTGTTCTGCCTTTGGATGATTACAAGCTGGACACTTCCTCTTCTACATCTCCATCTTCTTTTTCTCTCCGCACACCAGAGCCCGACCTAATCCCATGTCAGGGTACTGTAGTTATATGTTCATTTTTCCTAATAAAAATAGCATAACAGCATGAGTAAAAAAGGTCTTTACATGAATATTATTGATAGATTCATTTTAGTTATGTACTATTTTTAGAGATGCTAAAAGATTTGATGCATTTGGTTGAATTTTAATTAACTAACAGGTATAGTTTGGGCAAATATAATGTCCCCAATTATATTTCCCAAAACCACAAGACATTACATCACACTTTTAACACAACAAAAAATACTGTGTGAGCAACAGGAAGCTGCACACTGCTAATCAGACTAATAACTCCTCTGGAGACAGACTGGTTTGTCTTTTATTATCTGTAATGGGCAGGTGGATGCTTGAAACATGTTGGATGGGAGTGTGTGCACACACATACGTTTACACATATTTAGAGTAGATGTTTAACGAAGTAGTTTTAGGCTAGACAAGTTATTAATTTTTGTCTAATGTGGAACTTTACTGACCCCTGCTGGACAAATAATGTTCTTTCAGTTTTAGGAAAAGAAAAAAAACAGATGGAGTTATGCCATTTTAACAAAGTACCAAAGAAAACAACAGACCCTGGTGCTCCTCCACCATGGCATGAAGGCATTCTGAAAAAGTACAGGTGTGAAAAGTGATCACTATCCTCTACTGCTGCTTCTTCTTCTTATATATCTATATATCTATATATATATATATATATATATATATGTGTGTGTGAAATATTCACAGATATATCTCTGCGTTTATCCAGAACTTAGAACTCTAACATATAAAGTGATATAATATCTGCACTTTTTATTCCTTCATGCAGACTTTACTCTGAATCCCATTCTGATCTCCCATCATATCCGAACCATTTTCAAGTGGCCAAGTTTAAAACCTTTAAAAAGGTAATGCTCTTATTTACTGTATTTGCTAACGCAAATATTTCTTATTGACACAAATGATCCCAAGGTGTTTTTTTTCCTCTTAAGATAAATGACTACGTCTGGTATGTGCTGGAGCTACAAAGTTGCAGAGGACAGAAAGAACAGCGGTACCGTGTGGTTCAATTTCGTAAGGACAAGCACTCGGTATGTTTTTGTCCTAATAATGCTAAAACGCAGATGGCTACATGTTCTACTTCGACACCAAGCTTGAAGAAAGATGACGGTGGATTTTTAGGAATACAAATAAACTTATTATTGCCTTTGTGTGACAGGCTAAAGGAGTGATGGATGTGCTGGTGTTTCCACCTACCGCAGAAGAAGCTTTAGAAGTATTCAAGGCATTGGAGGTCACTTTGTTGTCTAGTGGTCACAGGGAAATGTCCTACGAGCTGGTAGATGCCCCCAGCCTTGGCTCATTTCAGCTTCAGCAGGTTTAACTCACACAGCAAAACATTGGCTAATGTTTTAGCTAAGCTTGATGTCAATTTAAATGTGCTGTATTTGACTCTGCAGCTGTTGCTTGATGAGAAACTGAGCACAATGAACCTATCAGAGACGGTGGCCATGTTTGTGGAGCTGGTGTGGACCGAGTGTTTGGGTTACCTTGACAACGTTCTCCAAGTTTCCGTCGACAAGCTCAGCCTCAACGATGTAGGTTTATATCACACCAGCAATATGTAAACACTGCAATTGACTGCCTCTGCATACAGTACAGTCCACAAATAAGCAACAGTCTTCCTAAAGCAGATGAGGGTGGACCATAGACAAATAAAGTAGAAATACCTGTTAGTCCAGAAGAACTTTACAGGGACGAACACTGTTCTCACATGGTCACATACAGTAATTCTATTCACCTCATCTGCACATCGAACTGTCCTGTGTACCTCTGCACTGTCATCTGTAGTTCTACATCATATTTCTAATCTTTATTCATTCCCAGCTCAGATAGGATAAGGAATGCAAAATAAGGCTGAATGTAAATTAACTTTAGGAAGTTTATTATTCAGAGAACAGTAAGGGTTACAGGTAAGGCAAGTGAGACAGTTACTGTACTTCTGTTTCTTTTTCATTAATATACCTAGCTGAAACCCTGTGTGTCTTGTTTCTTTGTAGGTGACCAGAGCCGAGGGGCTGCTGCTCCAGGTTCAAAAGATGCTAAGAGATAAAAAACATGTTGGAATGAGAGAACTTTATTTAGAGTTTCACTCTCTGCTGCCACATAAACAAAGGACCTCTCTAGATATGAAGTCCATCTCTCAGAAGCTGGACTTGTGCCAGGTAATGGTTGAATACTGCATGCCAATTGTTTTTTAAAATTAATTACAATTTAAATATTGACAAGGTTTGCTTCTGTTCCTCTAAAGTTAATTAGAGATATTCTGAATGTGACTGAGATGACTCTGGGAAGCCCTACTCCTTCCAGCTTAGGAAAGTACCGTGCACTGAGGTGCTGCATTGAAGCCGTTCCTCCTGAAAGCTCAGAGTTCCACACTGTGATAGCTTTGCTGGGAGACAGGTAACGTTGATCCTTCTTGGCCAGATTAAAGTTATCTTTTTTTGTGTTTACTTTAGCTGTTTTTAATGTAATATGAGTAAAAACAAGGCATTTAGTCACTTGGAGATTTATGGATTTACCTTTAATCACTGGCCAACTTTAATTGGTACTGTTGCTGGCTATAGTTCCTATTGTTTAAGCTATTTTACCTTCCTCAGACTTTTTGAAGAGTTTTAAAAAGTTACACCATATCTTTGATAAATGGTTAGCTGTCTTACATTTATACATTTTCTTAACCCTTAAAATTATTTTTTTAAATCAGAGCAAAGCTAAAGCTAGATATGTTTTTTTAATGGAAACTTCTAACATCTTGTTAAATGTAGGGTAGCACGCTAACGAACTAGCTTTGTTTTTTTACATAAATAATCTTTCTATAAATCTCTTGACTATTTTATGAATGGCCATTTGTGTTTGTCTTTTTGGTAAAAAAGTAAGTTTCAATAAACCTATGGCTAATTCCAACCTGGTTTAAGTTCTAACTGTTACCAGTTTCTTGTCTGAAATATTTTATGGCATTTTATTAACATTTGCATTTGTGTTTTGCAGCAGTCTGCAGATCCAACAGGTTCTGAAGGTGGCCAGAGTGTTGGAGCTTCAGACTTTTAAAAGTGATCTTGGGAACATTAAGCCACTCCTTCACTCTTCCAGCCCCAGCAACTTTGTTGGAATTCTCTCTCGGTAAATGAAAACATACACAGAGCTTTCAATTACAGGATATTTGTAAGGTGTAAACTTATTACGGTTTCCTGTAACATTTCCTCTTTAGTGGTCTTCTCTTGCCCCACATTGGAGTGGAGCATCATGGGATTGAGAGGACAGATGTGGGAAACCTGGGCAGTGGAATTTATTTCAGCAATGCTGTGAGGTTAGTGCTGAGCACCAGAAACTGCTGTATTTTTGTGTGTAAATCATCACTGATTATTGAAATTTAAAGAAATGGAAATTATGTAATCTGGAAATAACCTGCTTCAATCGTCATTTCCTTTGCACTATCTCGGCAGCACCTGTCTTAAATACTCTAAACCCAGCACCACTGACGGTTCTCGGCTGCTGCTGGTCTGTGACGTGGCGTTGGGTAAATGTAAGAAGGTCCAAAAAAAAGATGTGACGCTGACCAAAGCCCCAGAGGGCCACGACAGTGTACACGGAGTCAGATGCTCTGGTGACAACGACTCCGAGTTTGAGGTTGAGAGTTTGTTTTTGTGCAAACAAATTTATGATTACATTACATTTATGCATTTAGCAGATGCTTTTGTACAGAGGGACTTACCATTGGAGGATAAACAATTCAGTTACACAGAGGAACTCTTGAAAAGAGACCACTAGTTAGAACAGCATGGCCAATTAAAACGATCATTTTGTTGTTTCCCAGGATGATGAGTTTGTGGTGTACAGTCCTGATCAAGTGAAACTCAAATACGTGGTTCAGTTCACTGTTGAGGACGACCAACTGAAGGAGTTTAGTCCTGCTGTAAACACCACACAAGAGCCTGTTTCCATGACAGGTGAGCTTCAGAACTGTGTTGTATGGAAGGATGTTCAACATGTTTTTGACCAGTACTGTTTCAGCCTCATCTCCAGACCTTTTAACAGCAGCAGCTTCTGAAGAATTTCAGATGATTCTCTGATTCTGAAACTATAAATTTGTAACAAATGTATCTTCTGAATTCTAAGAAATGCATTTATAAAAAGAAAATGGACTTTGAAAATGGATGTTGGTCAGGATGAAGCCCACGCCTTTGAGATTTCTTTTGCACATAATAATGAGGGATTAGAGACATACTTTATTTTTTCTTTATCTCTGACTTTTTTTTACTTTGAGCCAGAATATAGAGAATAAAACAAGGACCAGGATTCAAAAAATAGATTATGTGGTTGAAGTGATGATCTCCAAAATGCTATCCTAAATAAAATCTCTATGTGATTTCTAAGTAAACTAAAATCAGAATTATTCCAAAGGTTTTAGGAAAAATGTCAAAATTAAATGCTTTCATATTTTACAGTCTACATATTTTAATCTGCTTTAAAAAAACAGTTTAATACAGATTATCAAGACTGTATAAAACCTTACTGTAATAAATCACCTGATTGTTATTGATGTTGTAAAAAACAGACATATGTATTTATTTTGTGTGTTTGTGTGCGCAGAAACCCAGACTGACATGTCGTTAACCACCGATGACGAGTTCATTGAAAACACATTAGAGGATGTGACGCCTGGTTTGCTGGACAGCGCTGGACAACAGCTTCCTCTACAGGCCGTTCACGTGAAGTGCAAACTTATGGACTTGGTCTCACAGGTGTTGAAACCTTAAAGTCACTGATCAATGTTATTTGTAGTTTTCAGCAGGCAACCAGGCATAGTATTCTAATTCTTAACATAGTTTTTAACATATCCCTGTTCTCTTTTTCCTTTTCAAAGGTGATAATTTTCCAAAAATACACCAACACAAGCACCACGCCCATTGAGGCAAAGTATGTCTTCCCACTGGATGATTTAGCGGCAGTGTGTGGATTTGAAGCCTTCATTAACGGCAAACATGTCGTGGGACAGGTGAGTCAGTGCTCCTAAAATCACTGGAAAAGATTAAAATGACCGTCTGTTATAGTCGGGATTAGAGGTTGTGTGTTAGAGTGATTAGTACGGTAAAACAAAATGTGAATGGCTTTACAAAATGGTTTCTCTACGTGGATTTAGGTGAAGGAAAAGCTGCAAGCTCGGAAGGAGTACAAGGAGGCTGTGGAGAAAGGCCATGGAGGGTATCTGATGGACCAGGATGCTGCTGTATGCCCACAACTTTTTCTACTCTTATTGAAGTATCGAATTTAAACATCCATCTTCTTTTCAGTAACTCCTCCAATTATGTGCCTCCATTTCACCTTCTCCCTCTGGGCATTTTGTTCATTGCCTCCATGCATTTTCTGCATATCATCTCTGACTCCCTGTGCATGATCTAGTACTGGGTCCTTTGTTAACAGGCTGGAGCAGAAGAATTAATAATTGACTTCATTTAAAGAAATCCAGTCATTTCTATTTACTGCATTTTTGGTTTTTACTACCGTGGTTATGACATTGCTTGTGTGTTGTGCTGACTGCAGAACGTCTTCACCATCAGTGTGGGAAACCTGCCACCAAACAGTACTGTCCTGATTAAAGTGACATTTGTGTCTGAGCTGATCATCAAAGATGGAGGAATTCTGTTCACCCTGCCTGGAAGTGTGGCTCCGTGGCAAGAGAGGTCAGCACTGAACCAGACCACTCAAGTAAGAAAAACCTGAAACACTATGTGTACAAGCTGTAGGTAAACTGACTGCCAGTTAAGTCAAAAACGTTTCTTTTCTTCTTTTTTTTTAATCTTTTTTGACAGGTCACTGTGGAAAAGGTGTCTGTGACTGGGGAGGCAGCAAGTTCAAGGTGTGCTTATTTTTTCTAACTTAGCTAGAAAGTAGCTTGAAATTTGAGTTGTATGGAAAATGTGGGTTTTCCAGCTTTCCCACTACCCAGCGTCCAAGATTATATCCTATATGATTATATAAGTACTAAACTACTACTAAGAATACACTACTCTGAATTTTTTCATCCTAGTAGTGCTAACAATACCTGAGCTTTGCAAATTGCCCAGTTATTAACATAACTTATTGTTAAATAAATAACCCGGTCTAGCTATTTAGTCAACATCTGAACAAATATCGGATCAGTGCATTCATACCTACAACTATGCAGGTAGAGGCAGGTGTATGGCAGTGATGTAGTGATGCAACCTGTAATGTTTTACTCAGCGGTTTGTCTTGACTACATTAAACCTTGTTAAAATTGACATTTAGTCAATCAAAGTGTTTCTGAGTGAACAGGCTTCTACTTAAGTGCTTTTATTACTTGTGGCCTTCACAGATTCCTCACTAAACTTTGTTGTTTCTTTTTTTCTTTCCTTCAGAGAGTTTTCGTTGGATATGTCAGTTGAAATGCCAAATGCCATCAAAACCCTGGAGAGCACCACTCACCAAATTAAGATGAAGGTAATTAAACAACATTTTCATTCTGACCATGTGATTGTTTTTTTATCTACAGTAAGGTGGAGGTTTGTATGAGTTAGAAATTCTTATGTAAGAATATCTTTACTGTTTGCTGATGCAGTGGAGAAAGAAATCACTCTCGTCTGTATTAGTCCCAGAGGTGCTGTCTCTCAGTATATGTGATGTTCTAGGTTTTTCCAAAAATTGTCACCTTTATTTAGAGAATATTAGAACCTCTACTTTAAAAATGTTTTGTTACAGGATGTATGCTGGGGCATCTTCACAATCAATGATGGTGTCTGTGTGTGTTTGGCAGTTAACAGACTGTAAGGCAGTGGTGAGCGTGCTGCCAGGACAAGTCATTGGCACAGAGGGTTTCCAGCTGTTTGTCAGTCTGTCTGTGGTTCATTTGCCAAGGATGTGGGTGGAGCAACATCCGGATAAGAACAATCAGGTCTGTCGACCCCACTTTTACTGGCCCTGTACTCCAGATTATTTTCCTATCCTCTGAATTTACCATCACCTACTTTCCAGGCCTGCATGTTGGTCTTCTATCCAGACTTTGACACCGGCTTCAACTCAGAAGACAATGAAATCGTCCTGTTAGTGGACAATTCTGAGTCCATGAAGGGTGAGCCTGCCAGTGTCGCTCGGAGAATCGGACACCTGGTCCTAAAAACCCTTGGAAAAAATCACAAAGTGAGAATCAACATCATCGTTTTTGGCACAGGTCAGCATCTCCTTTTTTTAACCTATCAAACAAAGCTTTGCATTAAAACTATTTTTGATTGATACATTCAACCACAACTGAAAAAGTAATGCTTTCATACATATTTCACATTGATAAAAAAAATCAGGTAAATGAACAGTATAAAATAATTGTATTATGCTAATGTCACTAGTGCATTCTGGAGTACCTTTAACAGTTAGCCTAGTAAAAGACAGCAGCAGAGGAGACTTCAGTGCAGAACGTCTTTCTCAGACCATGTCTGACTGGACTTCTGCAAAAAGGAGACCGATGAACACATGGTTTCAGTAGTTTCAGTAGCTTTGAACAAATTGAACTAACAGATGAACATGTTCTGATTTGAAAAGAAAGTTGTGTGTCCTTGCTAAAAGTTGTTACAGCAAATGCACTTGTTCATATTTAAGGTAATCATTTCTTTCTTTTTTCTTTTTTTGGTTAGCTTACATGGAAACATTCGAGATGGCACAACCTCTTGGCGAGGTCTACCAGATAGTAGAAAACGCTATCAAGGTGAGCTAATAAAAGCTTTAAATTTTGGCTCCACGCTCAGCAAGGAAAAATGGGATACATGTGTACACCAGTAAACAATGTGTAGAGTGAGTGCATGCATTTAAGTGATTCTGTAATATAGCAATAAGCACACCTGGGAGTCCTGGGTTCAATTCCCAGAAAAATCTCATATCCCTAATGGCTCCTTATTGTTATTATTATTATTATAAACACCTTTATTCATAGCATAATGTTTATTTGAGATTGATTACTCAATGCAATGCATTGCAATTTTTTTTTTTTTCACCTGACAACAGTATGTCAGGTGGTTTTAAAGTAGTGCTGCTAACTTAAGAGCAACTCTAAACCAAAACAGAGCCTTTTCCATGTTTGGCTGAAGGTATAAAGGTATACTTGACATTTCTGTAATGTCCCAGCCTTGGATCAATAAAGTACATCTATCCATCTATTGTACTGTAAAAGACGATAAGTTGCTATTGTGAAATAATTGATGACTTATTCTCAGGGTGAATATTTGTACAAGAGACATGGTTGACACATGTAATAGGAGATATTTCAACATCTGTTTTCATGAGTTTAAGACAAACCCTACAAGTTGATATGTTTACCAATGCATCCAGTTAACACAGGAAAACAACACAAAAATATACAGTATACAGTTTTTGATTAATTTTTTACACTTAAATTAATTGACAAATATCAGCAGACAAACTCAAAAAGTGTTGACACTTTTCAGATGTTCACACACGATCTTCTCTTTCTTTCAGACGCCCTCTTCAATAGGTGGCAGCACTGAGCTCTGGCGTCCACTGCGCACTCTAAGCTTGCTGCCTCCTTCCCGCGGAATCAGAAATCTGCTGCTGCTCTCAGACGGACACATTCAGAACCCAGAGCTGATCCTGCAGCTGGTCAGAGACAACGTTCAGCACAGTCGCCTCTTCACCTGCGGCGTCAGGTACGTGAGCAGCTCAAGAAGTATGAAAATTGGATGATATTCAAAGGAGATTTCATCTTACAGTCCTCTCATTTCAGTCCAACAGCCAATCAGCACATGCTAAGAGCTCTGGCTCAGGCTGGGGGAGGAGCCTATGAATTCTTTGATACAAAAATGAAGCACAAGTGGGCAGATAAGGTGAGACATCCAACACTGTCTAATTAGAAAGAATGAAGAAAATGTGTTCTTGTTGTTTGTCTCCAGAATAAAATATGCTATATGTAAAAACTTTAAAATCTGAAATAGAAAGTTTTAAATTTTGTCTGATTTTAATCTTTAGAATGTTAAGAAAGTATGATTAATTTCTGCATTTGCAGACACATATTTATTAACCTACACAATATTGTACTGTTTATAAATAAGATAAATAAAAAGTATTTATATACAGTATATATACTGTATATATATATATATATAAATATATATATATAAATATATATATAATTTATTTTTGGTGTTTTACTCTAGGTGGCGTTCCAAGTGAAGCGTATGGCCTCTCCAGGCTGTACCTCAGTGTCAGTGAAGTGGCAACAGTTCAACCCAATAGCGCCTCCAGCTATACAGGCTCCCAAACAGCTCCATGCTCTCTTCAACAACTGCCACACACTGGTTTATGGCTTCGTTCCTCACTGCACACAGGTTTGCATTTCAATTTCAGGTGCCTTTTTTTGTTGTTGTTGTTTGATTGTTTGTGTAATTATATGGAAAAGTGTAATTGAAAAGGCTCTGGTGGATCTCATTACACATTTCCATAAAATGTGTGTGAAAAACAAGAAGAGAGATAGATAAATATAGATATGTCAAAGATTATTCAAAAGTATTATTTTGTTTCTTTAATTAATGTGTATTTACACACAGGCAACACTTCATGGGAACCTGAGTGGTCAGGAACTCAAGACAATGGTGTCAACCACTGAGCTGCAGAAGACTAAAGGCACAGTGAGTGGTCATTACGCTCAACTAGCAGAGGTTTTCACCCTGTACCCACACACACATTTCTTAATTGTTGCACAATAATAACTGGGAGTGAAGTTTTCTCCTGCATGCTAGAGAAAATATCACACATGTTCATTCTCAACAATACCCTATATGTGTTATTAAGGTCACTGATTTTTTTTAATTTCAGGTTTCACTTAGGTTCATTAGCAGACCAAAGAAAACACAGTTTTTTGTGAACTGTGTGTGTTTGTCTGTGTGTCTACAGTTTCTTCACAAGCTCACAGCAAGGGCCCTCATCAGGGACTACGAAGATGGGAGCCTGGACACCAATGAAGCCAAACATGAGGTCAGTTACTGAAAGAACTAAAAAAAGGGAGCTATCACTAGTGTCCATTCTAAACTCCACATGTTGACATTTTATTTCCTGTTTTCAGGGCAAGAAAGCAGAATTAAAATCCTTTGTTATTCAGCTAAGCGAAGAGTTCTCCATCTTGTCCCAGTTCACCAGCTTCGTAGCTATTGAAGAAAGGGTTTGTGTCATTTTAGCCTCAACAAGCAGTTTTATCCTATTATCTTCATCACATGATGCTCAGCAGCAACTAAAGCCACCAACAACGGTGGGCTGTGTTCTAGGACTCGGAACAACCTGAAGGATTCACTGACATCTCCAAGTTGGTCGCAGAGGAAGATGTGGACCTGCTCCCTTATATGAGCTGGGTTTTTCCAGAGGAACAAAGGGAAAGTCATGTGGACGAGTTGCTTACCTCATTTTCCTCAGTAGATGATGATGAAGAAGAAGAAGAAGAAGAATTTTGTGGGAATACCATTCAGGTTTGTCTCTCACAGGTTTGTCTTTTGGTTTATAATCTCTAGACGGACATGAATATTATTTTATGTATCACAACACTATTGGAGATACAGAGATATCAGAGATACAGTATAAATGCACTTAAGTTCAAAAAACATATCATGATATTAATGATAATGGTGCTGCGTTGTACTGTAAAAGACATGACTTTTTGGTATTGTTAAAATTCAACTTTATATTAAATTAGATTAAACTACATTGATCCCACTCTGGGGAAATGACCATGTAATAACAACAAAAGAGTAAAATAAAAAGACACAATTACGATATCTAAAAGATAGAAATAATAAAACTATAATATAAATACAAAAGGGTAGGAAGTAATTCTAGAAATGTTGACAGTTGTAAAAAAAAAAATCCATTAAAGCTGTATGTGTTGTTGAGTTGTTGCACAAAAGTAGTAAATGCAATTTGTAGTTTTATTGTTGACAGACAATCAGTGTGTGATAAGAGTGACAAGGGAGAGGGGCACAGGGACGGGGGGTTTGTTGTTCCGTTCACAAGTCATGTTCAGAATTTGCTTCATGTCTTTTTGATTTCAGGGCGACATATATGACATGATTGAGTATTCTTCAGTCTGCCAGTCTTTGGACTATGACCCACCCCCTCCTCTTCCACCTCCCTCCCCCCCTACTACTACTGTTTTGGCTGAAGTACCTTTAGCCAAATTTGGCATTCCACCTCCTCCTCCTCCTCCATATCGTCCAAAAAGATTTTTTCAAATCTCAGGATCTATGTTACCGCCATGTCCTCCTCCACCTCCCTGCCCCCCTACTACTAATGTTTTGGCAGATATTCTAGAAAACCAGGAATCTTCATTGCCACGTTTCCGCCCTCCTCCTCCTTCCTTCGACCTCTGCAGCAGCGAAGTCGGTTCGGAATTGTACGGTGCATTGCCTATTTCTTTACATGAAAGGCCTTGCATGAATTCCATCCCACACAAGTTGGCTGGGTCTTCCTCGGTTGGGCCTTCCTCAGCCTCTTCATTCCATAGAAAGGCTTTTAGTTCATTTGGCCTCAAGACTCAAGAGTTAGAACACACTACGTCTTCTGATCATCGCAGACATAAAGCTTTCAAAAGGACACTGGTAAATAAATGCAGGTGAGTCATTTTAATAAATTATAAAATAATTTTAAATTATTTCACAACATTGTTTTTAAGTCAATAAAATGTTAGGAAATAAAAATGGCATACATAACTAAATCTAACCCAGCTAATAGTTAACAGCTAAATGTTTGGGGGTTTTTTTCTAAATGAGTTAAATGTATCAAAAATTAAAAATGTTGTATCAAATGCTCAGAAAACTGACTTGACCAAAGATTAGCCATTTAAGGACAAAAGCTCAAAGAAATCTACAATTAGCTGAGAAATACCTTAAGGTTGAGCACAATGAGGAAATTGTTCAGTAGCACTAAAAATGAAGACAGCTAGAGTTTTGAATACATTTAACTTCATCCAAAATAATGTAAAATCTTAACCTCAACATAGATAAGGAAATTGCTTTAAATTTAGTGAAAGCAAAAAAGAACAGAAGATTAGCAAATATAAGTAAAGTAAATGTAAAATGTACTGTAGCTCAACATGTCTGGATAATGAAAAAAAAATGAACATGAAAACTAATAGATTTAGGTTGTACTGCTTTTTTTGTGAACTTCCGTGTGTGTGTGTGTGTCAGTATCTCACCAGATTTACAGCAAGACAGTGCATCAGAGGTTATGGAGAACAGGGCCTGGAGTGCAGTAGAGATAAAGAGGTGTGTTACAGAATGAACTGAAAAGACGGAGATAACATTGAAGTTTATACAGTAAATAGAATAGTTTGAAAGAACCATGCCATGTTGCAACATAACTACATATAAGCCAAAAATAAAAATATGCTAAATATGAGTCATGTATGTACATCCATGCCTGTAGAAAAAAATGAAAAATGTAATACTTCTGTGATTGAGGTTTTACACTAGAGGGCGCAGAAACCGTGCAGCGGCAGTTGTCAACTGGACGCAGATCTTCCTGATTCAGCACATTGTAAGGCTTTGAAAAGAAGTCCATGAGTGTTTGGCCGCTGCAGGGAAAATGACAGAAGCTCTGATATGTATTTGTCTGTTACAGGAAGGTTACTGGGAGCTAACCCCACAACTGGGAAATCTGATCAACGTCAATGTTGACGTCTTTGCCAATGTGTTCCTCAAGGGCAAGGGCATCTGTTCTCTGGGTGAGTTTTTAATACTGTATGTTTCATGTCTGATGAATCCAGGTGTACTCTGTTCCAGAGTGATGAGCACATCATGTTAAGAGGCAGATGAAGTGATGCAACCATCTTGCCTAGTGAATACTGTACAGTACAGTTGATCAGGCCTATGTTCAGCAACATTATGTACCCAAAAAATGAGGTCAGCTGACTACCTGAATATTCTGAATGACGAGTTAATCCCTCAATAAATCTTTGTTAGTATGGGCATATTCCAAGATGGCAATGCCAGGATTCATTGGGCTCAATGAGCTTCATTGGTTCAGAGAGCAAGAATCTTTGGGATGTGCTGGAGAAATGTGCCGTTTGTGCAGTAGTCCAACTGAATCCAAGAAAATATTTAGTTTTACTTAAATCTAAGAAAAGCTAACTATGAAAAACTAAACCTGTGTGTTGGCCATCCCAGGTATGAAGGCCCATACAGACATACTGAGGTTGGTGGCAACTCTGCTGGTCCTACAGCTGATGAGGATAGAAAAGCTGGAAGAGGGCAAACTGCTGCGAAGCCTTTTCTGTTTAGACTCCATCCAGCACAGGTTGGTGCTCACACATCCACAATCGTAATACCACAAAATATATCATTTATAGAAGGTAACCAAGAAATAGCAAACCGTCTGACAAAATGTAGGGGGAAGTCATATTATTACAAACAATCATTTGCAAAAAAAAAAATCAATTCTAAACTGAAGTCAGGCTCTAACAGCAGTTGTCACTGCATAGTTCTCAGATATTAACACTCATATTTTATTACAGGCAGTTGCACATGGGCTGGAACAAGCCTTAAATAACCGTTGAATCTAATTCAATTGCATGATAAAGAGGGGTTAGCCAAAATATAGCTAGGAAAAAAAAACTACCATTAGCCAAGGAACAGGTACAAAATTAGAAGAGACACAATGTGTAGGCCACATTGTTGAAAAGGTGAATGAAAATTTAATTAGCCAAACTAAATTCATTAGGAAAAGACTGGTTTCATTTAACATACGAAATTAAATGCAAAGGCCAATGCATTAAAACAGTCAACTAGAGTAGCCTGTATAAGCTAGCGCTAATTAAATCATTGAAATGAATACATCAGCACGACAGTCTATCTCCAACCGAAGGATTGTTTTGTAATTATGTGGTGTGTTTGTCAGACCACCGCGGTGGGAGGCGCTGCAGAAGGCAGTGGAGTGGGTTTGTTGGGCTGACAGGCAGTACCCCTCAATCTACAGCCGCCTGGAGTTCGGTCTGAGCTGGGAGTCCTCCACCCGTCAGCTGCTGGGCTACGACAGCCTGCCCACCTTCTCACACCTGCATGGAATGAACGTAGTGCGCCCAAACTTGTGCTGTTCATAAGTGAAGGTGATTTCAGTATAATGAAAACAAACATACAAAATTGTTTTTTCAAGGGGGGAACTAGTGAAAATGAAAACCATTTCTGGTCAGTGTTTATTCTTGGGACATTTGAGGGTAGATTTATGGTTGGTGGCAACTCTGCTGGTCCTACAGCTGATGAGGATAGAAAAGCTGGAAGAGGGCAAACTGCTGCGAAGCCTTTTCTGTTTAGACTCCATCCAGCACAGGTTGGTGCTCACACATCCACAATCGTAATACCACAAAATATATCATTTATAGAAGGTAACCAAGAAATAGCAAACCGTCTGACAAAATGTAGGGGGAAGTCATATTATTACAAACAATCATTTGCAAAAAAAAAAATCAATTCTAAACTGAAGTCAGGCTCTAACAGCAGTTGTCACTGCATAGTTCTCAGATATTAACACTCATATTTTATTACAGGCAGTTGCACATGGGCTGGAACAAGCCTTAAATAACCGTTGAATCTAATTCAATTGCATGATAAAGAGGGGTTAGCCAAAATATAGCTAGGAAAAAAAAACTACCATTAGCCAAGGAACAGGTACAAAATTAGAAGAGACACAATGTGTAGGCCACATTGTTGAAAAGGTGAATGAAAATTTAATTAGCCAAACTAAATTCATTAGGAAAAGACTGGTTTCATTTAACATACGAAATTAAATGCAAAGGCCAATGCATTAAAACAGTCAACTAGAGTAGCCTGTATAAGCTAGCGCTAATTAAATCATTGAAATGAATACATCAGCACGACAGTCTATCTCCAACCGAAGGATTGTTTTGTAATTATGTGGTGTGTTTGTCAGACCACCGCGGTGGGAGGCGCTGCAGAAGGCAGTGGAGTGGGTTTGTTGGGCTGACAGGCAGTACCCCTCAATCTACAGCCGCCTGGAGTTCGGTCTGAGCTGGGAGTCCTCCACCCGTCAGCTGCTGGGCTACGACAGCCTGCCCACCTTCTCACACCTGCATGGAATGAACGTAGTGCGCCCAAACTTGTGCTGTTCATAAGTGAAGGTGATTTCAGTATAATGAAAACAAACATACAAAATTGTTTTTTCAAGGGGGGAACTAGTGAAAATGAAAACCATTTCTGGTCAGTGTTTATTCTTGGGACATTTGAGGGTAGATTTATTTAACGTGAAAAAATGATTTTTTTTTTAAATGCAAAACTCCAAAATACTCAAAACTCCCTACTTCTGTACTGAGATGTGTAGTCTTGGCATTTCATTTTAAAGCTCACAAAAAATCAACTTAGTTAACAGCACAAAGTTTTTGGGGGCAGAATTCTTGACAATCTGAATCACATTTGTTTTAAGCTTTAGCTTCAAATTAAGATGTTTGTTTGATCAAATTATGGTAATTATGAATAAATATAGATGTATGAACAAATGATGACATTGACAGCAATACAGGCGGCACAGTACATTGAAACAATGAAGCACTTGTTATGATATCATGAAAACACACTTTTGATGATGGAAATATATATATTTGATTTAATTTTATTGCAGTTAAATCAATTTACAATTGAAATTTAATCCACGGTTACTGGTTAAAATAAGTTTGCGTTTTTTATGATTTAACCAGAAGTCCATCTGTTCAATAATATGAAACATTCTCCCTTAATAAAAAGAAACTTTCTGGTCTTTTCAGTTTTATTTATTTATATATTTATATTTATTAGTTAAAAAATAACCGCATATTGTCAATTACAAAATGTTTGTCAAGAAGTGTCTCTTTTTTTCCAAAGACGTTGTTGCAGTATCCCCTTCGACCTGAAGATGTCAGTGTTGAAGATAAATATAAATATGCAAACATTACCCACTGCCCGTCCCACCGCCCTTGGAGTTGGTGCAGAGTTTTAGAGATTTTAATATACGTAAAAATTGAATACACATTTAACTGGAATCATTTTTATTCAAGCATGAAGAAAATATTTGTATTGTTTTATCAAAATAGCTATAGGCCAAATACAGCAATGAAGTAATATAAGATCCTCAGTAGCCTGATTCTGATATCTTGGAGACATCTGGTACTTTGTTACAGTAGTATCTCTGTCAGTAACTGCAACGCTTGCTCTAAAATGTGTCTGAATAGATTACTGTATCTGGCCTAACTCTGGGTCAAATACAGTAATGAAATAAAGAGCCAGCTTCAGATGAAATTATACAGCCCTGACTCTGCATAGTCAAATGTGGATATCATGTGGTTTGGTTGAAGTTCATCTTATTTGTGTCCCTACTACTGTACTCTAAAACATATACACCACATCACTTCCTCTTTCTATTATTTAACTGTTCTTCTTCTCCTTCTTCTGATCTCTCTGAGATTACAGACCCGATGTGAAGAATTTGCATCACCACGCAGATGTCGAAGAGATTCGCTGACGGTTGCTTGTGTCATGCGTTTGCCAATGTCTTTTGTTTACCTGTTTTGTACGCAGGGCAGCATGCGCTGCAAGGCACCGACCCAGAAGCCTCAACTTCAGAGGAAGTCAACGTTCAGTTTGTCTCCAGCCACTGTTTCTTTGAGAGAATTGGCCATTTGGCTTTGGGAGCAACATGAAAGCCGGGGCCGGCGCTGAGGCTGCGTAGCGCTTTGTGTGATGAGGAAGGCGTGGAGGAGGGTTTTTTTGGAAGATGGGGGCCACTGTTGTTGATTTGTGTTGGCCTGTGTGTGTGTGTGTGTGTGAACAGAGAGATGTCTGGGAGGTCACCCCTCCTGCCAGTCATGCTTAGACAGCATTAGCGGCCCCTTTTTCGTGGCGTTAACACACCGGTACAACAGGCGTTTTGTCTCTGGCGGTGACCCCGCCTCCCACCCTCTGACTTTGAGACTCTATGCCAAAGAGTTGAAAATGCCCCCCGCTGAAGACAGACAGTAGAAATTATGGAGAGTGAACAATATGCACATTTAAAGAAAAAGATTTTTGTCAGTCTTTTCATCTACATTTCTTTCACTTCTTTTCTCTCCATGCGTCTGGATCAACACATGGATTTTTTTCTTGCTGCCTGTCTGTCTGCCCCGCTTCAGACAGACTCCCTGAACTTGTGCAAAATGGTAATGAATATGAATGAGGGTTGGTCAGGAAAGCAGCCTGTATCTGTGTATGTGTGTGTATGGTTTCTGAGGCCACCTTTTGTCTGGACAAGACAAACATATAAGAGCCTAAAAATATATAAGTGTTCCAAATATAGTTGCCTACTTTTTAATGTAAATAAGTAAGAATGCAAATTTATGGCAAATTCAGTTTAGGTATTTTTTAATAGTTTTACTTTATCAGCCAGGTCCAATGTCTCCAGCAACCGAACTTCTTCAAATGAACTTTCATTTTCGTATGGAGAGATTTTCAAACCAGTGAAGTATTTTGGCTCTGAATCTCATTATGTTGATGCTCTTGTTATTGTTTTAAATTTAGCTGAATTAAAGTGAAGAATTAAACCTAGATTTGGTCGTCAGGTTATGTGAGCTCTAGGACTCCAATAGTGAAGATTAAGGTTTGGCAGTACCTGGTTATACTCGGGTTTAACAATTATGTTGTGATATTATAGCAGTGTTTAAAAACTATTCTTTCGGACTTTTCCATTATCGTTGACGTTATCGTACCTCATTGTCCAGTTTGTGATTTTAACTTTGTCCTGTTTCACATGAGTCAAATTATCCTCCCTATTAACTTATTCATGCCGAATCTTAAAAATAGCTGTTTCACTGACGTGCAGTGACGTCCACAGATTCTCCTGAGATCGTGCAGAGTGGCTCTATGTGTCGACCCGAAAAACTGTCAGAATTTTGTTGAATAACGTCAGTCACGTCTTCGTTGTCTCTGGTGTTTCCTCCGCCTGTGCAGCCATAAAAATAAACACATTCTGATATGAGATGCTTGGCTACCCAATGTAATAGGACTAAAATAATGAATGTCTCCATGAAGACATTTTCCCTGTCTGGGGCTGACAAAAACAAACAGGATGTAAATGTTTATACAGTGAATGCCATCAGGGTTTGTCCTGAAATGTTCAGTAAGAAAAACAAACCTATCAAGGAATTACTGTCAACCCTGTGATGATGTGATTGTTCCCCATCGTCGATGTTTCCCTAGAGACAGTCGACCGTGTAAAGATAGTGTGCGTCTGCTTGGAATCACGTCCGTCACTCTCAGTCTCTCAATCAAAGTGTCTTTGCTCATTGTTATACTGCAGATGTCAAGTACAGGTAATGATGGCATTGGTTTAAAAATATTTTTAATGCCCTCCTCACACACACCCACTCCCATATATTGCATGTACTTACCTGCTCACCACAGCATCCATAATCAGAGGTTTTTACATTTTCATTTACATTTATGCATTTACCAGATGTTTTTATATACAGCCATCTACAATTTAGCAATTTTTTATTCATCTACAAAATAGGGCAGTTGGCGCCTTCTAGTGGACTCACCACCTGCAGGAAGGTCCATGAGGGGCTGGTACGGTGCAGTGTGATTTGGGTGGCGGTCTTGGAGACTGCTGCCCCTGTGACCCGGTAACGGATAAGCAGATGAAAATAAGTAGATGGATGGATATTTTTTATTATGATAACTAAACTCTTGTGGAGTTTACTACTAATATGGAACTACACATGAGAAGAGCCTGGATAAATAAAATAAAAATACCCTTTACAAAGAACTCAGAAGGCTACAGATAAAGAGACATGATAAGAAACAAATGCCACTGATGTGTGTTTTATATCAAATTTAATTTCTCACATGTTTATAATATTTAGCTTTGGTTCTTCCAGATTCAATGTTTACGTAAAACTTATGTTTTCAATATGAAAAAAATTTACATTACATACTGTATCTGGAGAGAAAGGAAAACATGAACAACTGCAATTTTTCAATAGATATTGAGTTTGGCCCCAGTTTTTAATTTTGGCCCAGTGTGAATTTGACTTTGACACCCCTGATATAGAGCATATTATTTGAAAATGTAGCCAAAATGCCAAAGGCAGCAGAGTAGGAGGTCAACAAGTGTTTGTGTGTCACTCAGTGGACACGTAGATCCGCCTTCATAACAGTCTGTATGTGTGTGTGTGTGCACATGTCGGTGGGAAAGGGCGTCCCTGGGCCGCCTCGCTCGGGGCTCCAGGGTCCAGAGGCCCTTGATATGGTAAACAGCCACATGAATGTAAA